TTCATATCACCCCCCCTTTGGGTTGGTTTAAAATAATATCTTGACTTTTGGGCCAGTCTAAAGTGAATGTCCTTTGGAGGTGATGTGGCTGTGGGTCAAAAATGGGTACCCAAAAATAAAACCCTGGTAAATGGAACCAAGGACTAAAACCTGTGGTCCCCTGGTGGTTTGATTTTGACCCACACCCATGTCAAAAGAGGGAATGGGAGCCCTGCTTGAAGTTTTACATTTCGCTTCTGGAGTCCAAGCGGCAGAGCCTTGTATGGGTTCAATGGGTCCTGACAATCAGGGTTGTGGGATCAAGGGGTTTATTCCCACTTCTGTGACACAAGGGAATCTCCCCCTTTATATGGGATTAGTCTTTGGAATAGCCCTTGTTGTTGTATCGCAGAAGTGGTCGTTTCCCGCAACCCTGCTGACAATTGACTTGACTGCTATTGGGTTGGATCTTTCGACTTTGACTAGAGTGATTCACTTTTTGCAGGGGGGTCAACAGCAACCAAGTTGAGTTCCAAATATGGTTGTTCCAACTGGGCTCCTTTTCAGTGCCTGAAAAAGCGCGGATGGATCCGTCCTGCGCTTTTTGAAGTCAGCAACCCGTCTACACGAAAAAGCTCCATGAAACATTTGGGTTGGACACTTGAAGCTGGTCAAGCGATGAAAGGGTCGCACATGCAGCACGCATGGAGCATGATCTTGACCCCGAATCAATGACCCCCCTGCAAGGGCTCCCTGTTCTATAGTGGGGATTTTGGCAGTGGCGAGCCCCAAGATGTACGGATCTTGGCACCTTGGTAAATGATTTGATCCCTTCCTTAATTCTGAGCCACCTTGGCATTTCTTTCTTCCAGAAACAGAACTGGCACCCAAACTTGAACGATGGCCCATGTTGATCGAGTCAACACCCACTTAGCTCCCGAGAGCAAGCCTGAAAAAGCGCCCGTCCGTTTGGATACATATCTGGCAAAAAAAAAAAAAACAACTTAGCACAAGGGTATGTGCCATCCCGCGTTTCCCGTTTCAGGACGTTTTGCCAAAAGGGGCAATCAATCGTTTTAGTCGTAGATACCTTTGGACTTGGTTGGGATCCAATGAGACAATGGACAAAATCCACGAGCTGTGATGGATGACACCCTGTGGAACAAAGGTCACAAACCACCACTGCAGGGTTTGGTCCATATATAGTATTGCAGCTGAACCTTCCATTTCCAATGTTGCTGAAATCAATGTGGCTGTGGCTCAAAAACCGGTACCAAAACGGATCCCTGGTAAGAGCAAACATGGACCAAAACCTGCGTAACCCTGCTGTTTCATTTTGAGCCACTCCCATATGTTGTATTTCCCCTGGTTGGTCTTAATATCATTTTTTCGCCCAGACCTCCAGTGCGACCAATCATTCCTGCTGACCTTCTTGGGTGGATGCGAAAAGACTGCTTTCAGGTCCGGGAAAAAAGCGATTTTCCATTTTGGTACCTCACAATTTGTTTGAAACCCAGAAGACAACTGCAACTGCACCACTTTCCCGTGGAACGTGCTTCTCAAGTTGGATTGGATCTGAAGCTTTCCCAGTGCTTCCAGTTGCCAGTATCGTAGGTCACCAATTTGTCACCATGGATATGTTTCTGGTTACCTACTATTGTGAAACGCCTGGAAGTATTTTTTACCAAACCGCCAAACCAAATTAGTGGGGAAGGTGACTCGAGCGAAGGTGTCCACCCCATTCGCGTCCGACCTGCCTTTTTGGCAGATTCGAGCTCTTTGTCCCCGCCTGTGGAGGGTGTTGAACAACAAGATTTTCCCCCACGTAAAGTTAGTTTCCATTTTTTGTTTGGCTGAAATATAGCGTTTAGGACATATATTTGTATGGGTAACGCTTCTTGTTGCCCCCTCCCCATCCACTCCCGGCTAGGAAGCTAGCAGCTTCTGGCTCTGGAGAGCCAGTAGGGCCGCCCTTGATTTTGCCTTGGACAACTTAGGAGACTTGGCTGTTGGCATTTTTGGCCAAATTGTTTAGGTGTTGTTTGAACTTCATGTTTGATGGGTGATTGAATCAAACATCAACCGTTTTGTTTGGCTCACATGCCAAAGGAGCCGCAAGGTTGATGATTGAGAACCTGGACTTGTTTTTGATGTTTTTTGACTTGCTTTGAAGCATCAGCCAATAGGAACCTAAGGGTACAGGGATTTCCTGGCTTCAATGTGTTAGACCAGATTGGGTGGTTTCCATTGGTGTCCTACGGGTTACGGATCAAGTAAATCGGGGGAATTTCAATCCCCCTCTTTCCACTTTGAACCCCACGGGGAAGGGGGAGCACGTGAAGAGGGTTCTGGTTGCAGGTTCCTCAATTAAGCTTGGCGCGAGCCAACTCCTTTGCTTGCGGGTGCCTTCTTTCCAATTTGTGAATTTAGTAATCTGCCGAGACTGTATACCCCGTACTCCAAATACCCGTTTTTGTTGTTTTTTGTGTATATATATATATACGTACATATACATATATATATATATACGATAAGGATGTATTTACCGTGGAAAGCCAGGGTTTCCAAATAACAATTCCTTGAAACATGCGGATATTTCGAGTAAGGGGTAGTAATTTATCGGCCTTCAGGCTCCCAGAGTCGATCCTGCGCCCTTTGCTGGAAGTCTTTTGGAAGCGAAACTGGCGAGAGAGTCGAAAGCGGCTCGAGAAGTCGGGGCTGGTGGCTTTGGGCGACTCAACCCCCGGAGTTTATATAAATTCCTTTTGGGGGTACACACACCCGAAAGCTCCAAATACCAAGTTTTTGTTCACGGTATTTGTTGGACAACCCTGTTTTCATGGTAAATATCCTCCTCCATTTTTGGTAGAGGACTGACATCATACCCTAAGCAGGTATTTGGAGTAGGGGATATCTTTACCAGGGAAATGGACTCATTGGGGACACCAAAAGCAAACAGCTTTCCACTTGCCAGTCTCCCGGTTTGCAACATGGAATCGAGCCCAGAAATATTGGTGCTGATTCTGTGACCCGACAATCAATGGATGCATAACATTTTTTTGTCTATCATCACCGGGCGACCAGGCTTTCTGGCGGTTTTACGACGTATCCACTTGTTTGGACAAGCAAATCCTTTGCCAACGTTGCCTGTTGGCGCTTAATGATGACTTTATGTTCTAGGTCCACCAGTAGTGCCCTTTACCCTTTTCTTGGGGGAGGGTTCCCCTACCAAAATTCTAACCTCTCCACCGGAGGACCTAGTGTTGGAAATATGGAGAACCGCCTGACGGCGTTGGGGGGGGGAGGGGAGAGAGAGAGAGAGAGAGAGATTTGAGCAGAGATTGTCGTGACCGGTTCCTCACTGAGGGTTTTGTGCTTGCATTCAGGTAGCAATCTAGGAATCAGTTCAGATCTATGGCCCATGGCTGCTAATTTCTTGACTGCTAGTGGGTTGGATCTTTAGACTTTAACTTTTTAGGACATACAGGTGTTTTCCACTAAATCCCCAAAAAGTTAAGCTTTTTGCAAGGGGGTCAACAGCAACCAAGATTTGGTCTCATTTGGGTGTGTGTTCTTTGCCATGGTGCCCGAATTTGGGCTCGTTTTCAGAAACTGAGAGAATCGGGGTCCCAAAGAACCACACAGACCCATTGGTTTGGTGACCGCAACCCGGAACCAAAGCGGGATTTTGTTTTTCAACAGGGCTTGTGTGGTTCCCTGGGACGGATTTTGAATGTTGACTGCTTGGTGGTGCTTCATAAGATTGGGAAGCGGCCACCTAAACTGCTTGGGGTTCCTAAACGGACTTTCGCCCAACAGCCCTCTAGTAACAAAGGTTTGGTATCCATAACCCGATCGGTTCTTCAAAAAATACCAACTAGAAAAAGCTGGGGCCCGGTCTTTGGAGCTTTCGGGCTGGAAGGAAAGGGCTGGAACGTCTTCGGGGTCATTCCAACTCACCCACCCACGAGGAACGTATTCGGTGCTTCCAGCGAGTCACAGCTTGGAACCTTCCGAAGCAGAGGGGTTCCTTGGGAAACAAATTCGGTCAGATTGAAGCTGGGGTGCTCTTCTTTTTTTGTTTTTTCTCCCAAGATGGTATGTTTATGAGTGTATTCGGCTGAGTTGACTTTACTGAGGCCCTATTGGTTTGTTCGAGTTCGTTCGGTTGTACCAACCGATTGTTCTGTGTCAGAACAGCAACCAACAGCTTGCGGACATGCCTTGCTCGCTCAAAGAGGCGCACAAATCAACAGATTGCGGCATAAAGTCCGAGACAAAAATTGGCGGATGACCGGAACCCGTTTCGCCATGTTGTTGGGAACCCTTCGCCACAGTGGATGGGCAAAATCCTGCACCACGTATGATACCAATAAGCAATGGTTTCCCATGGTTCCAAGCAGTGAAGGGTTTTGTCCACCCGCAGCATGTTCCTTTTGGTTTCCTTTGGGGCGGAACTCCTTAAACCAGGTACATGGAAGTCACTAGGCAAGTTACCACGTGCCCAAGGAGTTTGATTCATTTCCAGGTTTTTTTTTGGTTTAAAGCCAGTCACGAGTTGTTGCTGTATGTTCTCCGATTTCTTATAGAGGCATGGTCTACTGGGCGGCCGACTGCAGCCCGCGCGGCAAACCATATCCTATTGCCACCCAACATGTAGAGTTTATCTGTTGTTGCCGTTTTAGTTTCGGTTGTTTGGTTCTGTTCATTTTTCGGTTTGGGGCCTGCAAAAATCAGAGGTATTTGCTACCAGTGCCCGCCCGGTCATTCGACTGGGGCAGGACATATGCGCCTGGAGAGAAAGGGCCAAGGCTTCTTAGGGGTCTCAAACAGAAAACCCGTTCAACATGCGGCGCTTTCCCCTTTCCCCTTTTCTCTTTAAACTACTCCCTGCGCTCATGGACTTTATACTTGTTTGGAAGACAGTTTCTGTGGCAAACAGCAAGTTTGGACTTTTCGCGGCCAATCCACTCAGGAAGTTGAACCACCCCACGAAAGGTAACTACCGAGCCTCAAACCAACCCATCTCGTGAGACGGGGTCACCCACGGGACATTCGGCGCTGCCGAGCTGCTTCTCGCCATGGGCGAGGCGAGGGGCGGGATTCGGTCGATGGGATCTTGTGTCGTGGCTATGAATTTTCATGGGGAAGCACCTCCAAAGTGGTTGGTGGACATGTTTTCTGATGTCCGCCAAAGGGTTTCACACGCATGCGTCGGGTTTTTGATTGGGGGGCTTGGGGGACTGTTTCGTGGAATTGGCTTCTCATTTGGGTGGTCTTCAGCACCCTACATATGTCGCCCCGGTCCTGAAAAGGAGCCTTTGGTGCCCCACCCCCCTCCCCCCAAAGTAGGGGGGATGTGGGTGCCATGTTGGGTGGAGGGAGCTGGGCAGGATTTAGCGATTTAGCCATGACTTGTTTGGCGCAGGCGCCTCACGCGAGCGACAACGTGAGCGACGTCAGTGTCAAGCTGTTGCCGGGACAGAAGGCCGTCCCCAAGTCGGCTGAGCCAGCAGAACCCGGGTAGAGGAAGGTTGCCCGCTACTCCTGTCGCTACTCCAAATACAATTTTTGAGTATCATATCCATCATGGAAAACCAGGTTCAATCAGTATTTTACAAAATGGGTATGGAGTAGGTTTAATGCTTTCAAGCTCAATGCTTTCCTGTTGCTTAAGCTTATTGCTTCCCTGTTGCTTCTGTACTCAGCAGCACCATCAGCAGACGACGGATTGTTCAGATACACGCATGAGCATTCCGTTGCAATCCATAACCAGTTGAATTTCTGAAGGAGCCGGTTGACGTAGATGTGCAAAACAACACCTTAAGAAACATGCAAAGACATTCCACTGTGCCATGCGCAAAGTTCCAGTTCAGCGATAAGACCAAAATGGAACATGTAAAGAAACGTGGGAGCAAAGGAGGCTGGGCTCGGCTGGGCAGAAGAAGATGCTTCCACAAAGTTGATGGACAAGCCTCACGCTGCTTCAATATTGATTGACAAAGCTGGTCTCCAGACACGGGCTGCACGCCTGATGGTTGCACCAATGGTAGAAGTGCTTCACCACTGCCAGCGGCACTTCCGCAGCTACCCAACTCATTTGCCCGGCGACCGGGCGAATGGTCCTTCCAGTGCTTCGTGGCTGCCAAGCTAACCGGAACTGGGTAATTTGTTCTAGGTCGCCCAGCTAGGTGCCCTTTTACCGATTCTTTTTTGGTTGGGAGGGTTCCCCTATATACTAAAATAGACTACATAAGGGTACCCTTATTCTAACCTCTCTACTGGAGGACCTAGTTGTTTGAAGGTACACCAAACTCTGTGAAGCCACAAGTGTCAGCTCACGATCATGTCATGACTTCTGTTGGGTTGGATCTTTAGATTCAAAGTTTTGGTTGAAATCAAGAGTGGATCAACAGCAACAAAGGTGTGAACCTAAATGCTAAGCAGGCTTAGGGCCCGCAAATTCAATCAGGGGCGTGTAACTTGTTTGGACCTAGATTCCCACAACACTTCAGCTGGAGATAGCAACGTTTTCCGTTCGCAATAATATGTGCATCCGAGCATAAGCATCAAAAGATGATGTTGCCCTGACAGTTTTGGTCTTGATTTCCGAGGTCAAAGTTGGATCTAAATCTTACTGCTTTCTAGTGAGGCGCAAGTCGAGGGTCTTTTCGGTGTACCTGATTTGGTGTTGTGATGTTTTCCAGTGGCTCAAGCACTTGGCGCTTGCACACATGTGCATTTTCCGCAGTCTTGGAAATGGTCGGTTTGCCCGAGCTTGGGTTGCGTTCATGTCATTTGGTGTTGCCGCGTGCATATCCTTGCAACCAGTCAAGGACATGCATGTCGCTGTGTATCGCATATTATGGCACGTGTTTCCGGTTTCATTGATTGGTTTGGCTGA